TTTACTTTTTTGCCGATTTAACCTAAGTAAAAAAACTTTAATACTTCCGACAATGGACGTTTTGAAAAGAAGACAGATTACGGATTTAGCCAGCATTTTTTTCATGATTCTACATTAAGATTTCAGCGAGATATAAACTGAAATAGACGCGAAAAGTACGCGATGTCGCCGACGACATACTCGACCCCAGAGAGTTAAAGTTTACGCTGCCATTTTTGCATGAGCTTGCATGTGCTCTTAAAGCCATTCCTAATCATTTTCATTCTTGCTATTTAAATCACTCACGAATAGACATGTTGAACTTTATTTCTTTATAAATACTGCAATACTTATTGCAGAAATTGATGTATTTCAACAACAATGTCATGCAGCCTAATTATGAAATACTGCTATGAGATATCTAACAACATACAATGCAACATTCAACATGGGGTAGTAAAAGTGATATGTGGCAGAGCGAAGTACAATGTGGAGCAGTGGTTAGAATACAGAGAATGCTGCTGCAGTATTAGTATTAAAAATTAGCAACTTGTGGAGGCAGTGAGTGTACATCATTTCATGTCACAACCTCATACAAAACAAGTGAGACCAGAAAAGGGGCTGACCAAGATGGATTTCTTGCACTGCCCCCTGGTGGACATGACCTTTAATCCTACAGACAGAGGTAAACTATGTGTGCAAGTGCGGTTAGTACACAGTTCACTCCTTGTGTTGCGTGCACTTCGTGTTGTGTATATTGGTGGCCTAAGTTGTGAACCTGTTGTCAGTGTTCTAAGACTACATGAATCTCCATCAAATTCCCTGATAAGACCCTAACTGATTTGATTTTGGCTGTGGATTCTGAGAGTCATTGCAGAATCACGACTGTAGAACCTCTCATTGCTTGCAACCAGGAAGGAATATTATTGGATTCTATTAAATATCTGCAAGTTGAGTCTCTGTGTGTTTTTTTCTGTCCAGGTGGAGTTTCTTTGCGAAAGGGGTGCTGATGTGAACAGGGGTCAGAGGTCCTCTTCATTACATTATGCTGCCTGCTTTGGACGGCCACAAGTAGCAAAGGTATTGGATAAACACTGTACAGAGCTTTGGGAGCTTACTTGTGTTGTAAATAAGGACTTTATATAATATGCATGCCTTTAAAATCTATTTGCTGTAGACTTTATTGCGACATGGAGCCAATCCAGACCTGAGGGATGAAGATGGAAAAACACCACTTGATAAAGCAAGGGAGAGGGGACACAGTGAGGTCGTAGCTATCCTACAGTCTCCCGGTGAGGTTACAGAGCACAGATGATTATATATTGTATAATCACTATACCGTATGATTTCTGTTTTATCTTGTTTTGTCGTCTTTCATCTTGCACATCATGGCTCTGAAATATGTGACTTTCTATGACAGGAGACTGGATGTGTCCTGTCAACAAAGGAGATGATAAGAAAAAGAAAGATTTAAACAAGGAGGAAGACGAGAGCAATGAACCAAAGGGGGATCCTGAAATGGCACCTATCTACCTGAGGAGGCTGCTTCCAGTATTTGCACAGACTTTCCAGCAAACCATGCTGCCCTCCATTAGGTATAGTTTGTCAAAATGAATATATCTGCAAATGGCTACATTTGCTGTATTCACATGATGAATTCCATTCCCAATATAATCTGAGTTCGTCGTCATACAGGAAAGCCAGCCTGGCTCTTATTAGGAAAATGATCCACTATAGCTCGGAAGCGCTTCTGAAAGAGGTGTGTGACTCTGACGCTGGGCACAACCTCCCCACGGTCTTAGTGGAGATCACTGCCACTGTTCTTGACCAAGAGGTAATCTCGAGTCTTTTACTGACATTGTTCAAAAAGCATGTTACTAGTGTGTAAGGCACATTTTTTAGTTAAACGGGTAACACTAAACTTGGTATATGTTTGTGTGTTTTTTTGAGTTGGGGGTGATATCCTGTCTTGTCCTGCTTTGGGCATTATGCTTGCATGTTTTATTTAATGTGAAAAATTAATGCAGGTCAGAAATGCCTTTGTCATTGCTGTTGGTTAATATAGTCTGCTCTCCTACCAAGGATGATGATGATGGACACCTTTTAGCACTGCAAATTATCAGGGACCTTGTTGACAAAGGTGGAGATGTCTTCCTAGACCAGCTGGCCAGACTGGGTGTTATAAATAAAGTTTCCACACTCGCTGGCCCAGTTTCTGATGATGAAAATGAGGAGGAAACTAAGCCGGAGAAGGTAACCAGGGATTGATGATCTTTTCCAAAGTACAGACACTTAGGGATCTAATATGTAATACTGTCCAACTAACAAAGGAAAAACAACAATGTTTAATCAAAATGCTAATGTTTTGAATACATTAAGTATTTTTTTCTTTAAATTCAGTATGTTCATGAACCTCAGTTATTCTGTATCACTCTAATTTTGAATAGTTTTTAACTCATCCCATCTGGAGCTAGAGTGATGTGGTGAAGGGTATTAGAGACATTTAGGATGTATTTTGCATTCATATGCTGTTTCCATTTGTGTAGGAGGATGAACCTCAGGAAGACGCCAAAGAGATACAACAGGGGAAGCCATACCACTGGCGCGACTGGTCCATCATCAGGGGCCGAGATTGTCTGTACATCTGGAGCGATGCTGCTGCCCTTGAGCTGTCCAATGGAAGCAATGGCTGGTTTCGTTTCATCTTAGATGGGAAGCTGGCTACCATGTATTCTAGTGGCAGCCCTGAGGGTGGCTCTGACAGCTCAGGTATGCCCTGCCCACCTAATGCAGTAATTATGCTGTACCTGCTGGCACCTGTTTTTCTCCAAGAAGAAAGCAGTGGAGATGTAAAGACTTTCTGCCAGCTATTAACTGTTTAGCATTTGTTTTGTGTATTTACTTGAGTTTTTGTATCTTCTGTACTGACAAAGTACAGCAGTGATTTTCTAGAACCTGCAACATCTTCATGATGTTAATGGTTAAAATATTTTGGGTGATCTTTGTCCTGAAACAGAGAGCAGGAGTGAGTTCCTCGAAAAGTTGCAGCGAGCGCGGAGTCAAGTAAAGCCAGCCAGTGCCAGCCAGCCTGTCCTGTCAGCAGTGAGCCCCACCAAACTGACTGTGGGTAACTGGTCACTCACTTGCCTCAAAGAGGGTGAGATCGCTATTCACAACTCAGATGGCCAGCAGGCTACTATACTTAAAGAGGACCTGCCTGGATTTGTATTTGAGTCCAACAGAGGAACCAAGCATTCCTTTACAGCAGAAACTTCACTTGGTAAGTTTGTAGGTAAGTGTGCAGGGTGATGATCACCAGTGGCACATATGAGTACACATGACATGTGGCCGTACCTTTTGGAGTGCTCATTTTACCTCATTCTATGTCTAGGATCTGAGTTTGTCACAGGATGGACTGGAAAAAGAGGAAGAAAGCTAAAGTCTAAGTTGGAGAAAACTAAACAAAAGGTAAAACTACAATAAAATCATGGCTCAGCATTAGAGTATTGGCAGCATAATATTAAGAACATAAGAACTATACAAACGAGAGGAGGCCATTCGGCCCATCGAGCTCGATTGGGGAGAACTTAACTAATAGCTCAGAGTTGTTCAAATCTTATCTAGCTCTGATTTAAAGGAACCCAAGGATTCAGCTTGCACTACGTTATCAGGAAGACTATTCCATACTCTGACTACACGCTGTG